TTATGTTATAGCAGTCTAAGTGCCCCTGCTAGATGAATGGGCTAAAAACATAGTATAAATACACAATAGAATAATATTTCATAAGGAAAAATTGAATCAGGTTATTTGCTGGAAAATATAAAGAACTAGAGGTCATCATATAGAACAAGATAAGGTCAAATTCGGGGCTGGGAAGGTGGCTCAGTGGTAGAGCACTTGCCTTGCATGCATGAGGCCCTGGGTTCGGTTCCTCAGCACCACATAAGCAAAAAGAAAAAAAAGCCAGAAGTGGCACTGTGGCTCAAGTGGTAGAACGCTAGTCTTGAGCTGAAGAGCTGAGGGACAGCGCCCAGGCCCAGAGTTCAGACCCCACGACCGGACCCCAAAAAAAAAAAAAGATAAGGCCAAACTCAATATTTTCTTTTACATGAGGAATCTAAACCTAAAATAAGTAGTAATAATAATATAGAGAAGGAAGAGACAGAAGAGGAGGAGGAGAAATAATTTTAAAAAAGGAATGTTTGGACTAGCAGGAGGATGAAGGAAAAAGGAGAGGAGTTATAAACATTGAATGTAGTAGACATGCATTATGTGTATCTATGAGAACAGTATAATAAAACTAAAAATGATTAAAAAGGGGGGGGGAGAATAGGATAAGCAAGGGTAATTAGAGGTGTTTTTTTTGTTTTTTGTCGGCCATGGGGCTTGAACTCTGAGCCTGGGCGCTGTCCCTCAGCTCTTCAGCTCAAGGCTAGCGCTCTACCACTTGAGTCACAGCACCACTTCCAGTTTTCTGGTGGTTAATTGGAAATAAGATTCTCACGGACTTTCCTGCCCAGACTGGCTTTGAACCATGATCCTCAGATCTCAGCCTGCTGCATAGCTAGGATTATAGGCATGAGCCACTGGTGCCCGGCTTAAGAGAAGGTAAATTTTATCAACATACATATGCATGTATGGAAATGTCACAGTGAAATTCCTTTGTATAATTTAAATACACTAATAAAAGAGTTAATATGAAAAAATGGAACTTATATATGATGCAGCCCTAATATCCTTGGTACATACCTGAAATCATCATATAAGAGATCCCTGCTCCTTGGTTCTCACTGTGTGAATGCCTGGAGAGCTGTATAATTCATCATGTCCCAGTGTATTTTTTTTCTTTTATCATCCAGTGTGTTCACTTGTAGATTTATAGGCACATTCTAGTTACCACAAATGAGGAAAACTATGCAACCTATGTTTCTTTGGATCTGGCTTACTTCGCTTAATATATTTTTTTCCAAATCTTTCCACTTCCTTATGAATGGTACAATATTCTTTCTGATGGATGAGTAGAATTCCATTGTGTATATATTCTTAGGAGAATATCACAAAGGCTCAGTAGCTATATGCATATGATCATATAAAATATTTATCAAAATCAACTCCAGGAAATGGAAACAAGTTCTTTTTCTTTGTTGCTGTTTTTTTTTCTTTTCTATATGTCTTGTGAGTTCATGTCTTTGGGAGGGTAAGGGGGAACAGAAATGGAGGGGTAGGTTGCTGGGGATGTGCCTTAGTGGTAGAGTGCTTGGCTAGCATGCATGAAGCCCTGGATTCGATTCCTCAGTACCACATAAGCAGAAAAATCCAGAAGTGGTGCTGACTCAAGAGGCAGAGTGCTAGCCTTGAATAAACGAAGCTCAGGGACAGTCCCCAGGGCCTGAGTACAAGTCTCAGGACAGGCAAAAAAAAGAAAAAAAAAAGAAATGGAGGGACAAAGGTTGAACAAATGCAGCAGTGATACTAAACACTATGTTGAAAATGAACTATACAATTTATGGGTGGGGACAGGAGGGAAAAACTGGGGGAAGGAAGGGGTGACATTGTTCAAACGGAAATATACTCTTTACCTGACTTATGTAACTGTAACCCCTCTGTATATCACCTTTACAATAACAATTATGTATACACACATATATATATGAAAGACCCCTGCATACCTATTTATTGTGGCAGATTTTTTTGTATATATTTTTATTGTAAAGATAATGTACAGAGGGGTTACAGTTACATGAGTAAGGTAATGAGTACATTTCCTATCGAGCATTGTTACCTCCTCCTTTGCTTTTCCCCAACCATCCCTACCCTCCCCACCTCTCCAACTCCTCCCTCCCCGCCAAGTTGTAAAGTTCGTTTTCAGCATAGTGTCTTGTACATGTCATTGTAACAATGGGTCAACCTGTATCCTTATTTCAGCATTTTGTTATTTCCTTCACCCTCCCCAAATTAGAAAAATGTATATACAAGATGCAGGACACCGGAATCAAATACAGTGACAACAGGGGTCATACCATGGGGGAGGAACATACAAAAGAAACTAAAAAATCCCATAGTGCATTATAAATACATTAAAAACAACAGCAAGAAAGATAAAAACACTTGAGTCCCAATCTTGGGGTTCATTTTGCTTAGCAACATCTTATATGGTCATATGTACATAGCTTTTGACCTTTTCTGCTTGTCCTAGACATATACTAGTTATTGCAAGTAAGGAAAACCATGGGACCTATGATTCTTTGGGCATGACTTATTTCACTTAATATAATTTTCCCAAGTCTTTCCATTTCCTAACAAATGGGGCAATGTCATTCTTTCTGATGGCAGCATAGAATTCCATTGTGTGTATATGTATATATATAGATATAGATATAGATATCACATTTTCTTGATCCATTCATCTACTGAGGGGCATCTGAGTTGGTTCCATATCTTAGCTATGGTAAATAAATGCTGCAATAAACTTAGTTGTGCTGGTAGCTTTAGTATGGCCTTGTTTATGATCGCTTGCGTAAATGCCCAAAACTGGGATTGCTGGGTCATAGGGGAGCTCTATGTGGAGTCTTTTGAGGAACCTCCGTACTGCTTTCCAAAGTGGTTGATCAAGTTTACATTCCCACCAACAATGCAATAGGGTTCCCTTCTGGCCACATCCCCTCCAGCATCTGTTGTTATTAGATTTCTTGATTATAGCCATTCTAACTGGGGTGAGGTGGAATCTCAATGTTGTTTTGATGTGCGTTTCTTTTATTGCTGGAGAAGTTGAGCATTTCTTCATGGGAATCTCAATGTTGTTTTGATTTGCATTTCTTTTATGGCAAGAGAAGTTGAGCATTTCTTCATGCATCTATTGGCCATTCTTATTTCCTCTTCAGAGAAGTTTCTCTTTAAGTCTTTAGCCCACTTGTTAATCAGGCTGTTGTTTCTTTGTGGATTTGTTGTTGGGGTTTAAATTTTTTAAGTTCTAAGTATATTTTAGACATGATACCCTTGTCTGTTGTGTTGTTGTGGCAGTTTTCAATAACCAAGTTATAGAATCAGCATGGATAGCCATCAGAAATAATCATGAAAAATGTTGTATATACACATGTAGTTTTCTTTATTCATAAAATGAACAAACATTACATTTTCAGGAAAGTGGAAGGAACTGTAGATTATCACGTTAAATGAAATTAGCCCATACTCAGGAAGATAGCACCTCATATTCTCTCTTATGTGTGAAATTTATTTTTTTTTGGGGGGGGGGGGTCCGTTCATGGGGCCTGAACTCTGGGCCTGGGCGCTGTCCCTCAGCTCTTCAGCTCAAGGCTAGCGCTCTACCACTTGAGCCACAGCGCCCTTCCAGCTTTTTTCTTTTTTGCTTATGTGGTGCTGAGGAATCGAACCCGCAAGTGCTCTACCACTGAGCCACCTTCCCAGCCCCATGAAATCTATTTTTTAAAAAGACATGTATATATGTAAATGTCACAGTGAAACTATTTTGTACAGTTAATATACACTATAATATACACTAAAAGCATATACATATAAAAATGATAAAATGATTTTTAAATGTTGATATGGTACAATGTTATATGTATATATATATGTATATATATATACATTTATTTTAGTAAATAGTATATGTAGAAAACAGTAATAATGCCATACTGTCAGCCATAGTTTCATCTGGGTGCTATTAATTTCCTATTTTTATGCTTTCTAAATCATTTACAGAACCCATGGTACTTTTTGTCAAGGGGACAGAGGGAAGGAGAGAAGGAGAATGAAAAAGAAAAGATATCTTTTATTCCTCTTGATTCTTCTTTTGCTAATCCTTTAGTTTTTCTAGAGCATGTTGGTGTGTTAATTTTAAGTGTTACTGCACAGTGAGCAAAATCGCTTATGAAGTCTCTTTATCATGTTGTGTTGATATCATATTATGAGACAGAATTACCTTAAGTCACTGAAATGCAGTACTGAAGTGTCAGAAACAGGAAGGTAAAATTCTAGTTCACATGATTGTGGGACAGCTTGAGCATCCTTACTCTGAAAATCTGAACTCTTAAGTGTTCCCAAATTTCATAGTCTATGCAAATATTCTAAAATGTGACAAAATCCAAAATCTCAAACACTTCTGATCCCATACAATAATCAACCTATATTCATATGTTGTGTGATCTTGAGCCACTGTGTGTTTCATTACACTATCTGTGTAATGAAGATTAGTCCTTTCTAGGTCAAAGATTCTAAGTGGAAGATAAAGATTGACAACAGGGGTCTCCACTTAGAAGACTAAAAACCGTACTGAGTTTGTCATTCTTTGGTGACCTAATGCATGTTCCAGAAGATCCTTTACTATGTAGCTATAAAACGATCAAGTTATTTACCTTCTTGGAAGATTCTCTTGTTTATGAAGTCATTTATTCCTTCATGCCACTCAACTCACAAACATTTCTATCTCCAAAACATTTTAGGCACTTATTGTATTTGGTTTCATAAATGATACCATACAGGATAACTAACTACTAAGAATTAACTTTTTTTGAGACAGTCTGACGATATAGCCCATAATTTGCTAATGCTTATTATGCACTTTATGCTACCTTCATAAACACAATCCTGCCTTGGCCTCTTGAGTGCTGGGATTACAGGCATAAGAATCACCATTCTTAACCAGTAAAATTTTAATGCCTCTTATTTTTTTTCCTACAAAGGGCCAGATGGTCATGTGACTAGATATGATTTGGATTGGCTGGTGAAAAATAGCTATGAAGGACAGAAACAGAAGGTTATCCAACCTAGAATATTATGGAATGCTGAAATCTACCAGCAAGCCCAAATTCCATCTGTTGATTTCCAGAGTTTCTTAGAAACCAATGAGGGACTGAAGATGTTTCTACAAAACTTTCTGCTGTATGGAATTGCATTTGTAGAAAATGTTCCTCCCACTCAAGAGCACACAGAAAAGTTGGCAGAAAGGATCAGCTTAATCAGGTAATTTATTAGATTTATGAACTCTACAGTAATTAATTGCCAGAGCATCAGCACCAATGAAAAAGTAAAAAGAATAAGCCCTCATTTACAATCCAACATCTTTTAGGGCCTGAATAAGGAGACTCTCACTCACAAAGCTTTCTTTGAGGACTAGATTTCTAATCTCTAAAGACATTTATACACTACATGTAATCAAGACTTTAAAATCACTGGTATATTTTTGTAGCTCTTACTATCGCTGTTATCAAAGTTATCATTATAGCTTAGAATGAACATTACAATAAAGAGAACTGGAAAGTAATTTGAATTCTGCTATCAAGCACTTGTATTACCACAGGTAAGTCCTTTCTCTCTCTCTTTCTCTCTCTTTCTCTTTCTCTCTCTCTCTCTCTCTCTCTCTCACACACACACACACACACACACACACACACACACAATGTGCACGCACATACATGCACACTCAATCCCTTACTGTCCTCTATTTTCCCATCTGTTTAAAAAGGATTGAGTAATATGCCATCTTATAGTTTTGATCTGTGATAGCCAGGTCTTTATTCAGAAATTGATTGTTATCTATGTGCCTTTAAAAAATCATGTAGAATTTAATCAGCACATTTGCACTTATTATTTTATGTTGGTCACTATAGTAACCATGATAATTGTGAGATTTGTCTCCTATTTTACTCATGGGACACCTAGTATTGGTTTTATTACCATTCTACATTTCTACTTGACATATAGATTTATCTTCTGTATTATTTAATGTACTATAAACCTACTTCATTAGTTATTGTCTTTTCTCTATTATGACCCAGATGTAATACATTTTATAGCATATAGTATGCATTATATATGTAGGTATGTATATATATGTACATATATATATATATATATATATATATTCCCTGTGCTAATAGAGCATAATTTGAAAAGTATTCCTTTTGAAATACAAACAGTAAAATAAACATGGTAAGCAATAAATTGAAAGGACTTTAAAAACCCTTCAAAAAGAACATTTCCTATTTTCACTTCAGAGAATAAATTCTGAAAACTAAAGAATTAAACTGACCTTTAGTCAGCTCTAAGTGGGGAAAATATGTGCAAAATCAAAATCTGTCATACTTACCTCAAGGAGCAATGCAATAAAATACAGTAAACCTCACTAAATACTTGTAACGCAAAACACCCTTTTTTCTTTTCCTTATTCATCCATGTCCAAAAGATAAATGGAGATCTACTATTAGTCACTTCTATGTCATCTTAATAATATGGAACTGTTTAGTTGCCTTTAAAGGCTTGATTATCCAAGATATTAGAAAATTAGCATTACTATTACAAAATAATACTTAAGATGACACCTATTAAAATTAAGTAACACATTGCTTCTAGAAGTAGCTATGCTATCTTTTATTATGAAAGGAAGTTAAACACAGAAAATGAGAAGGCTATTAAAAGTAGGCATATAAACTGGGTGACAATAGTTCACACCTGTAATCCCAGCTACTTGGGAGATGGAGATTGGGAACATCATAGTTTGAAGCCAGTCCAGGCAAGAAAGTTCACAAACCCCCATCATAATGAATAGCTGGGTGCAGTGGTGCACACCTGTCATCCCAAATATAGTGAGAAGAATAAAATAGATGCATCACAGACAAGGGAAGCCCCAACAAAAACCAAGACCCTATCTCAAAAATAACCAAAGCAAGCCAGATGCCAGTGGCTCATGCCTATAATCCTAGTTACTCAGGAGGCTGAGATCCAAGGATCCGGTTTAAAGTCATCCCAGACAGACAAATCTGTCAGACTCCTATTTCCAATTAACCAACAAAGAACTGTGTCTCAAGGGGCAGAGCATGAGCCTTGACCAAAAAAAAAAAAAAAAGCTGAAGGACTGGCAAAAAAAAAACCCAAAACAATAAATAAGTAACCAGAGCAAAAAAGGATGGAGGTGTGGCTCAAGTAGTAGAGTGATTACCTATTAAAAGTGTGACACTCTGAATTCAAACTTCAGTAACACCAAACAATAGTCGGATGTAGGTATATAAGCAAAGTGTAATTATTCTCTAAGCTTTTGAAATACATTACGCTTCTTAGTTCTACCTTCAACTTCCTAGAATATTAATGGGTGACAGAGTTGTCCGGACTGAGGTTGTACTTAACTGTCAAGTTCACCTTTTAGATAGAACCACAGATACTATTATTTAGGTCTTTATTTCATTTAACAGAGAAACCATCTATGGAAGGATGTGGTATTTTACTTCAGACTTTTCCAGAGATGACACTGCATATACCAAGCTAGCTCTGGACCGACATACTGACACTACCTATTTCCAAGAGCCCTGTGGGTAAGTGGATTAGGCTCTTCCAGTCCTTATATATAATGGTCTTGAGTAGTCTTTTAATCAATTTCAATTCTATCATATCAATTGCTGTGAATTCATATGACTTTCTTTTTCTTTCTAGAAACATGAGCAGTTTGAAATACCATATCTGAGTCTTCTTTAGGCTCATGTAATAAAATTTTAAGTGATTGAAAGCTAATCACCTTACTACAAAAACTGTCTTAATCTTGTTAAATTTATATTTTAATGTAATTACAACTTCCTTAAAAACTACAAATTATGTTTTATAATTTGTACACTTTTCTCACATTTAGTTATTTCATTGCAAAGTAGTTAGCCCTGCAAACACTGTTGTTTTGAGAATGGTATTAAGGGGAATTTGAGTTTGATGAATAAGAACTTGGAAATAAGTAATAGCTGAAAAGAAACCTTTTTCCACATCAAATCAGTAACTATTGTGCCAAAGATGATAATGTTAGACATAACTTTCCTATGATTTTCCTCTTCATATGTATGATAAGCTGTGACAAAGATATTAGTAAAGTGAGTATACATACATATGGATTATAAGATAGCACAAAAGAGTGATTGCATTAATTTCCTTTTCACCTATAGACTACAAAGTCAACCCCTAAGACTATTAAATAATCCTGACCTAGAAGTTTCACAGAATGTTCAAAATGATCATAATTGATCCTTTCTCTTTTGTTTTTCAGTTAGATTCTTCTCCAATTATTTATTTATTTATTTTTGTGCCAGGCCTACAGACTGAACTCAGGGCCCAGGCACTGTCACCGAGCTTCTTTTGCTCAAGGTTAGAGCTCTAGCTTGAGCCACAGCACTACTTCCAGCATTTTCTGAGTCATGTATTGGAGATTCTTGAGTCTCATGGACTTTTCTGCCCGGGCTGGCTTTGAACCATGATCCTCAGATCTCAGCCTCCTGAGTAGCTAGGATTACAGGCATGAGCCATCAGTGCCTGGCTTGATTCTTCTTAATTTTATTCATTCAGGCTCTCCTTACATTTTTTTATTTCACTTTGTGTTACTTTTCCTCACTTTTGAACTTTTGGTTAATTACTATTTTATTTTCCCTCATTAATTTCAAAATTCTTTTGTTTTTCAATCCTTTCCCTGTTAACATATAAATGATTTGACTATTTCAACATGTCCCTAAATAAAACTTATTCAACCACTCACACTTCATCATCCAATTACACATCTGCCTGCATTCTGTATCATACATAGTAAATACATTTCTTAACTTCAAAGTTTCTCACAGGAGGAACCTAGAGTTATTCTAGATTCTTATCAGTCCTTCATCTTTCAAATTGTTCTGCAAAGTTTTTTTGCTTAGCTTGAGTACCACCTGCTTATCTTTCACACTACCACTAAAATCAAGTCTTTAAAATGTTAATGTGCCCATATAATTGCAATTTAAAGCCATTTGTTATTCTCCAAAGATCAGTAGGAACTTCTTACTCTCTTCCTTTAGTATACTTTGTTTTTTACAAGCAACTTTGGTCATGCTTTTGCCTCTTCCTAGAATGATCTCTGCTCATGCCAGGGTCTTTCCACTCCTAATTCTTGCTCAGTCTTTAAAATTAAACGAAGCCCTCCCTCCTTCCCTCAAATATTTCTCTATACAATGAATTAAAAAGAGCAGATCATTCCTTTTTATGGTACTTACTTTATCTTGTATACAACTTTATTATAGTACCCATCATTTTACTGGTACTGGTTTTATCTCTTCTAACTATAGCATGAGCTTTTAAAAGTAGAGGCTCTATCTTATTTGTATTACTGGGTCATAACATATATAGGCTTTAATACATGTTGTGTATATTTGGTAGAAACCTATAGTAGCATTAATATTTCAAAGTACAACAATATGAAGGAAAAATAATTGGGAAGTGGAATTTCATTCTTCATTAAAAGAAAATGAAACAAAAGAATATTCAAGAATTTTGGTGTGTTCTCTTTTATCCACTGAACAAAAGAATTTACTTTTCTTTTCCTTCTTTAGCATTCAAGTGTTTCATTGTCTTAAGCATGAAGGAACAGGTGGCAGAACACTGTTAGTAGATGGGTTCTATGCAGCAGAAAAGGTACTTCAAAAGGCACCTGAGGAATTTGAACTCCTTAGCAAAGTGCCATTGAAGCATGAATATATTGAAAATGTTGGAGAATGTCATAACCACATGATTGGGGTTGGGCCACTCTTAAATATCTACCCATGGAACAAAGAGCTCTATTTGATCAGGTGAGTACCAAAGAACTATGCTGCAGTGTATTTACCATATATTAACCTCCTAATGTAATAATTCTTAAAATCCTTCTAGCTCCCACATTTTAATCTTGTTATTCTATCGCTCTTTATGTTATATTCTTATTATAGTTCTAATAAACAGGCCAAAATAAATAAATAATAGTAATAGTAAAAAAACAACAACTAGTAAATAGGCCAAAAGTCAGAGAATAATCCATTTGGGGGGAATGATACATAATGGAGGTGATACTCTTAAAATGAAACCATGTAATAAAATAAAAAAGAAGAATAGCTATTCAGTTGGCCACATAGTTAGTATACCCAGAGGTCTGATGAAAATTTATGCCTCTAGAAAATATTTATGTAAAGAATCTCAGTAAAGATTTTTCATCCAGGCTCTGGTGGCTCATGCCTGTAATTCTATCTATTCAAGAGGCTTTGTTTATGCAGCCTCACTTTCCCACTTCAGTTTGATGAACAGGAAGCTCAAATCTTTTAGCAATGCTTCAATTAACTTTGATCAATAAGATTTATGCCATGAAGTATACTTTAAATAAAGTGCCATATCCTAAGGCAGAAGAAACAATCTGGAATTAAAATTATATTCCCTATGCCAAGATTCTCCAAAGAAAAACAAAATATAATCATCAGTAGAATTCCTCTCTCTGATCCTCAATTCCTAAGCGAATTTTTGCTTTCTTATCACATCATCTATAAAAGAAGTACTTAGCCAGGTGCTGGTGGCTCACGCCTGTAATCCTTGCTACTCAGGAGGCTGAGACCTGAGGATCAAGGTTCAAAACCAGCTCGGGCAAGAGTCAAGAGTCGATGAGACTCTTATCTCCAATAAACAACCAGAAAACCAGAAGTGGTGCTGTGGTTCAAGTGGTAGAGTGCTTGCCTTAGCTGAAGAGCTGAGGGATAGCACCCAGGCCCAGACTTCAAGCCTATAACCAACAACAACAAAAAAGTACTTAAGAAAGAGAAACATTAGCTAAAAATAGTCAACAATGTTCGTGTGTCTGAGATATTTCTGATGATTCTGTTAGGTACAACAACTATGACCGTGCCGTCATCAATACTGTACCTTATGATGTTGTCCATCGTTGGTATACAGCACACCGGACTCTGACAGTTGAGTTGCGAAGACCTGAGAATGAGCTTTGGGTCAAACTAAAACCTGGAAAGGTGGGTCCTAAACTTTAAAAATGTCTAGTAAATTTGTTTTACCAAACCAGTGAAGGATATCTGTTTAATATGTGTCACAGTGCTAGAAAGAAAAAAGAGAAGTCCTGCCACTAACTTACTGAATGATGAGAAATTTAGCTAAAAGATCCCTAAGATTCCTTCCAGCTTTATTTCATTTGTGTTTAGGGCAGGGAATAACTTGGGAGATGGGTTCACACTTAGTGCCTCATGCTTGTTAGGCAGGCACTCTACCACAAAGACATGTTCCTAGCCCTTTTTTTCACACTGATTAGTTTGATAAAGGCTAAGGGTTTTTACCAGGCCCCAACCAGACTTCAATACTACTTTCCACTGTAGCAGTGATGAGAAGCACATGGCACTGCACCCACTGTTAGTTCTATAACTTTTTGCCCCCACTGGCCTCAAACCATGATTCTTCTGATCTCATTCTTTCAAGTAACTGGGATTACAGACATGAGCCACCACATCCAGTTCATTTTTCAAATCTTGATATTTCCTCTGGGTGAAAAATATATTCAGCTTATCATAATGAAACAGTAGTTTACCTTTTGAATAAGTATAGAGTAAGAAAAAGATGGAATCCAGTTACATAATTTAATTGGAAAACAGAATAATTGTTTAAGAAATGAGCTCCCTAAATGCAGGTCCTATTAGCAAATATTGTTTTTATAACTTCTTTTGAGGCTATTATGTATAGGATTATACACATCTTAGTCTCAAAAGTCTACATAATCTCAAAAGAAAAGTATCTCATTGAGAATAACCACAGAACTTAAATTTGGTCTCTCTTGGTTTAGGATTTTTGATAGTGTTTTCTCTTTTACCCATTTGCAGGTACTATTCATTGACAACTGGCGAGTCCTACATGGTAGGGAATCCTTCACTGGCTACCGGCAACTCTGTGGCTGCTATTTAACACGAGATGATGTATTAAACACTGCTCGTCTCTTGGGGCTTCAGGCTTAAAATTGACAGCACTGGGTTTATGAATATACTTAGCATCTTGGCCACCAGAATTTCCTATAAACAGAGTAATAAGTCAGAACTTACCTTACATGGTTTCCTTAATCTGTCCAACAAAACAGAAGCTATGTAATTCTCTAATAGAGGAAACCTGTTAGAGAAATGAGGTTTCTGATTTATCTAACATCAGCCATCTAGTGGAAGAGCCATTTTCTCGTTATAACATAAGCCTACTTGTTTTATAAACCTTTTGATATGACTTTATTTTACTTTATCAATACAACATATATAGTAAAAAGAAATCAATTACATTTATTGAGTGAAACTTCTTTCAATTTAATCCCTTAGAATACAATGCACTCTAAAAATGAAAAAGTATTGATAAAGCAAAACTTGCTAAATTTTTGGCCTTAGCATCCATGTATGAGACAATATATGGCTACTTGTATTTCTGTGTGGTTATTTCACTTAACACGTCTTCTAGTCCTATCCATTCCAACAAATGAAAGGTATCACTTTTCTTTTTTATAAATGAATACACACACACACACACACACACACACACACACAGAGTTTGCTTCATCATTCACAGGCATTTAGGCTGATTCCATATCATATCTATTGTGAATAATGCATCACAGGAGTATGTGGGTATTCTCTGATGTGCTGATTTCTTTTGGATGTACACCTAGAAAGCAGTAGCTGGATGATATAGTAGATTACTAATTTTTTGAGGAATTCCCATACTGTGTTCAATAGTGGCTATGCTAATTTATATTTCTACCAAGAGTATATAATATTTCCTTTTTTATAATTCACTAACACTTATTATTTTTGTACTTTTTATAACAGCCATTCTGACTGCAAAAAGAGTATTTCTCATTGTGGCTTAGATTTGCCTTTTCCTCATAACTACTCATATTGAGTTTTCATATACTTGCTGGAAATTTGTACATCTCATTTTAACAAATATCAATCTAGGACAATAGCCCTTTTTGTCTGTTGCTGTTTCTGCTTTAGGGATATTGAGGTTGTTTTTTTTATTTCTCAATTTCATGTTTCTTTGAGACAAGGTCTCACTATGTAGATCAAACTGACCCTAAACTGACTATGTAGCTCCAAACTGGCCTCAAACAAACTCAAATCCTTCTGCCTTGACCTCCACAGGATGGGATTATAAACCTGCACCACCATGGCAGCTATTGTTGATTTTTTAATGACATCACTGATATTGTTCCTATTGAAATCTGCAGTTTGCTTACAAGTTGTAAGCATCACACTGCTTCAGATGTATGCCTGATGAATAACTGCTATCATACTGCAGGTTAACATTCACTCAATTGTTTGCTTTGCTGTGAGCCTTAACACCCTTAAAATTGTCCAGGACGCATTGATAATCATTATATTAGATATTAAGTGCAAGAAATGTTAGAAAATGAATAACATGGAATCATCTATTCCTTACCTATCAGAGGGATGACATTATCACATCATATAGCCTGTGAAAAAGTCCAGTGTTCATTCCTCACTCTCCCTCCATTGTGCAAGCAGGTTACACAAGAAACCTAAATCAAAATGTCATCACCAGGCGTGAACCATAAGCCTAAGCTTTTCTGTTAGAAATGTAACAGGGGCTGGGAATATAACTTAGTAGTAGAGTGCTTGCCTAGCATGCATGAAGCCATGAGTAAAATTCCTCAGTACCACATAAACAGAAAGGGCCAGAAGTGGTGCTATGGCTCAAGTGGTAGAGCACTAGCCTTGAGCAAAAGAAGCTCAGGGACAGTGCCCAGGCCCTGAATTCAAGCCCCTGGACTAGCAAAAAAAAAAAATTAAGAAGGTAGGTACGTAGGTCTGTAGGCAGAGTTGAGAAGAATATTCCAGAAAACCCAGAAATATTCACCCTCTCTACCTTTGCAATCAGTTGAACATCTGAAGACTCAGTAGGACCCCTCCTGGTATCAAAATGACAGTAGAGAAATGAACATTATGGCTGGGGCTTCTCCTGGACTTGACATTACTTTCACAGTTAAAGTAGAAATGGAATCAGAAAAGCAATCCATTTTGAGACACTTAACATAGCCTCACTCCTAGAAAGCACCTTAAATATCTCACTCAAAAGATATGATTTTAAAGCCGGGTGCCAGTGGCTCACGCCTGTAATCCTAACTACTCAGGATGCTGAGATCTGAGGATCCAGGTTCAAAGCCAGCCCGGGCAGGAAAGTCCTTGAGACTCTTATCTCCAATAAACCACTCAAAAACCGGAAGTGGCCGTGTGGCTCAAGCAGTAGAGTAGAGCGCTCGCCTTGAGCTGAAGAGCACAGAGACAGCGCCCAAGCCCAGAGTTCAAGCCCCACGACTAACCAAAAAAAAAAAAAAGGTATGATTTTAGCATGTTGCCAGAGCAAATTGCTGAGAAAGAAGTTACATTCTAAACAGTTCCTATTTTATTGCTTTGAAAAATAAAATGACGAATTAGAAAATGGCTAAGTTGTTTTACAATTGGAACAAAAAAAGTTGACGTTTAGTTTTTAACAAACATCTATTAATTGTACATAATGACATATAGGGTGATATTTCAACATATTCATGACACTTGACAAAGGAATGAAATCTTGTTTGACAGTTGGCCACCTTGCATATAAGGGATCCCACCATACAAAGAAAGCCATACTGCTTCTGCATACAACTAAAATTTGCATGAAAATCACAGAACGCCTCTCAGAAGGGATCATATAATTTCCAATGCAGCTAAGTTAACTGGTGCTGGAACTGTTGAACTGAACATCTTTATGTAAGCTAATAAAGCTTGATCCTTGATCTAAGGCTCTAATGCCAACAAGAATGCAAGATATACAATGAGTCCCACGAACATGTATAGTAGATACAATGTGAAACTTGGTGGCCAAGAAGACAAAGCTATGGGCTTATGGGAGTCATGATGAGGACATACTGTTGATGCACTTAAAGACTGCAAATGCAACTGATCTCTAGGAAACAAAATAGGAATGGAGGAAAAAGGAAGAGGCCTGAAAAACTCCCATCCCTCATGTTGCTGTTTTGGAACAGAGCCACTTTCTCCACTGCACTGATTAGTCAAAACGATCTACTGTGGCCTGTAAAATCCTAGCTACTCAGGAGGCCGAGATCTAATTCTAAGCCAGACCAGGGAGAAAAGCAAAAAGTCAGACGGGGATCCTTGGTTCAAGTGGTAGCACACCAGCCTTGAGGGAAAAAGTCAAGGGAGCTAGAGGCCTGAGTTCAAGTTCCGGGGTACCAACAAGCACACACATACACCAACAGGACCTACCTATTATGCTTTGTTCCCACCCTGCTGCCTTAAATTGGGCATCTAGAAGCTATCTTTCAGTCCATGAATCACGCCCAAGGTGACGATGGGAATGACAGACAACACAGGAGCAAGAAGACCATCTTTTATTTCTCCCCAGTGGCAAAGTGGGGAGGGGAGGGGAGGGGAAAGGTACTGGGCGTGCTGTGGGGTGGTTGGGTCTCTGGCAAAAGGGCATCTCGGTTGCTGGGATTCATCAGACGCCCTGTCCCGAGGGGGAGATGGTTTCTTGCAAAACTAGGTGAAGGAGGTGGTTCTGCTCGGCACTCAGCAGTGGCCACATCTCCACCTGCAGCGACTTGACGGCTTCCGTGTCTTTCTCATGGGTGGCCATGACCAAGGACTGCAGCAGCAAGAACAGCTCCTCAGGAAGCTGGCCGCTGCTGCTGTCCTGGCAGTGGCTGTCGAAGGCCTCCCAGGAGTACCTCTCCAGGGTCTGGGCGTGCTCGGGCAGGAGCTTGGCGGGTGGCGGCTGCAGGAGCAGCAGCAGCAGTACGCGGGACACCTCGCACCGGGCCAGCACGTCCGAGAAGGCGCCCAGCGTGGCGGGGGAGGGCGCGGCCGAGCCCGAGTTCGCGGGGAGCGGCGCAGAGGCCGCACCGGGTCCCGGCTGCTGGGGCGGCGACGGCGGGGGCGGCGGCAGGGGGTGGCTGCCATGGTCGCGCGCCAGGCGCTGCATGCGCGTGAAGACCGCCAGGGCACCGGTGTAGTCTCGCGCCAGCAGCTGGCACGAGGCAGCGTCGCCAAGCGCCTGCAGCGCGGCCAGGGGCAGCTGGGGCAGGTGCAGCTGGGCGGCGCGCTGGAAGTGGCCGGCGGCGGCGGCCGGCTGGCCGAGGTCGCGCAGGGCGGCGGCCAGTTCCAGGCACAGGGCGGCGGCGGCGGCCGGCTGGCCCAGCTCCAGGTGCAGGCGCACAGCGGCGCTCAGGGCGCTAGCGGCCGCCTGCAGAGCTTCGCCGTAGGCGGCGGGGCAGACCAGGCGCTGCCGGGCGTCGCACTCCTGGCGCAGGAAGAGGCGCGCGGCCTCGGTCAGGGCCAGCGCCTCCCCGGGCCCGTGGAACAGCGCCTGCTGGCAGCGCGCCACGGCCAGCTGGCACCAGGCCGCGTAGGGCAGGCACTCCTGGGCGCGCAGCTCCCGGCCCAGCTGTCCGAACTGCTCGCCGGCCTCGGCCACGTTCGGCTTCCGCAGGAAACGCTTTTTCAGCTTGTTCGACACCAGCCGGTACCGAGCCAGGAAGTCCCCGGCCTCGGCCCCTGGGCTTACGCCGCCGCCGCCGCCGCCGCCACCTAGGCCCAGGCCGAGGCCGAGGCCCAGGCCTGACGAAGAGGCCGCCATGTCGACCACTCGCCGCTTCCGGGTGAGCGCGCTGACGCAGCGGGCCAGCCGCGACGTGCCGTGCGTCCCCGCGGGGTGCGCGGTAGACCGCCCGCGCTCCCGCCCCGCCGTTGCCTGGCAACCAGCAGGCCGTCCGGGAGGAGGCTGCGAGCGCACGCCGCTCGCAGTCACAGCTGGGGAGGGGGTTGCCCTGGCACCGCCGCTGACGCTCCGCAAATCCGGACCTGGGCCTGGCCGCCGGCTCGCCCTGGGGGCACGAATGACAGCCGGTGGGACGTGGACCCACACCGGCGTGGTCCTCTACGCAAACCCGGCTGGGGCCCTGGGCCGTCCTGACCTGCACACCGGGCCTCCTGGCAGCCCAAGCCACCCCTCCAGCCCCACCCCAATCGCCTTCAGACGTGGGGCCTGCGGGGCCCTCGTCGTGGCTCCCAGCATGCCATCGTCCCGGCAACCTCACCTGGCCTGACTCGGGGGCTGTCTGAGAGCCAAGTGTACCCTGGAGGGCTCCTGTCCCAGCCGCCGCCTGGAAGGGACGCCGGGCACCACAGTGACCCGGTGCCAACTGCCTGCACGCGGGCCTGCCGGCGGCGGGTAATGACCTCACCAGTCCGCCCGAGCCCGTCCGGAAGTGCCGTCGCGCGCAGGTGTCGTCGCGCGCAGGTGCCGTCGCTCCCCGGGAGCCTGCGTCTCCCCTCAGGCGGCGATTCTAGTGCTTCCACCCGACCTGGATCATGCTGGGAAAGGGCAAGGGCCTCCAGCTT